CATTTACAAACTGAAATCATTTTATATAGAGTAAATAAAAGAAAAATAGAAACAAATAATTTATTTCTAGTAGTAATAATATTAAATGTACATGTTTTATAATAAAATTATTAATCAATGTAATCAAAACATAGTTATTGGTTGTGCCTAGATATAATATATGTGTGTAGAAGTAAGCTATTTATAAAACAAAACAAAAAATGAAATAAACAATGCTACCGAATTCCCATGAAATTTATTTATTCTTTTTTGGTTAGGTCACCACTTAACAGTTAAAAATCAATTACCTATAGAATGGCATGAATACAGAAAAAATACATTTTATTCATGATATATATCATACACATTTTCAGGCAAAAAATGTTCAGTTTCATTTTACTGTCTATATTATCACACAAAAACTTACATACTACTAATATATACACAATAAAGACTATATACACATACAAGAGATAATATAAAATAGAGTAGGTACCTAACTATTCATAATAGACATATTTATTAACTTTACAAGCAGAATACAATAGCTTCTTTTGCTTCAACTGACTGATTTTGTTGAAACTTGCTGCCAACATCAACATATCCAATATATTTTTGGCCAGTCCATTCCACCCTTTGCATAATTGCCATTTCATTCATCAAAAGATTCAAAAAAACCTTTTTTTATAACCTTCTGACTTTATCCGCCTTTAAATTTCAATGCTCTTTAGTGAATCCAGGAGAACCATCAACATCCTAATACCACTTTGATAAAGTACTGAGATATGGGAGACAATTGTTAAATTTTTTCCTCACATATGTACAAGCCTTCATACTGTAGAAGCTTAAAGTTAGTGCAAACGCTCTTAATTCAGGGAGTATTTTGTTCTGGAATGATCTTTAATTGCTCTTTTGACCAATTCCTAAGATCCACTTGCAAGAGAATCCTAAAAAATGAACTAATTTGATCCAAAATAACATATAAATAAAATGTTTCCTCATCATTAAAAAAATTATGAAAATTACTGAAATTAATTCTTACATGCACAAGTATATCTGTACTTTTGATAAAAGAATTATTTTTTATGTATCGTGGGCTTACTGCTATAAGTGACCAAGTCAAATTTTATATGATTTGAGTTAATAGGACCAAATCTCTTGGTAAAGTAAGATCTACCAATAAAAAAAGTCATATTGATTAAGTTTATTAAGTACTTTCAGGCAGTGTAAATATGACTTGAGTGACTTTTTTTTGTAGATCTGTCTTGAATAAGTGACTTGGTCATATTAACTCAAATCACATAAAATTTGACTTGGTCACTTTTGGCATTAAGCCCATATCCTATCATACTGCATGGCTCTCCTGAAATCATAATAATGCTTGATTATATGAGAAAATATCTTATTTGACTTTAACAAACCTTCATTTTTTTTAAAGTCCTCTTTTACTTTCAGAAGCAGTTAGTGTAGATGAAGAGAGCTTACAGATATTGTGGTTTTAGGTGATGAGTTTATCAAATTTTAAACAGTTTTTTGTCTTCTAAAGAGAGTTAAAGATTGAAGTTCCCTGACTTGCATATTTTCGTCCCTACAAATGAAATGTCCATAAAATGTTGTCTGCATATTTTTAATGATATACATTTAATTAAATTTAAAAAGTTCCAAAGACTATTCATACCTTTTCATTAGCCTTCTATTTTTCTTTTCCAACTTAGAAATTTCCAATGTTGGGAACTACAGATAAGGGCATATTTTCTTTACCATCGTTATTTTTAAGCCTGCAAACAATAATGTAATAATAATATATGTTAAGTATTTAACAAAATAAGCAAATAAGTGTATTTCAAAAGCCACATATATGAATATCACATTATCTATTGCTACCTTTATAATAATGTTCAGTTGAAAATGGTCTGAACACAGACATGTGTTGTTAGAAATGCTATTAATGCTCTAACTAAATACTTGACTGGTTGTGAGATCAACTGGAAATCTGAAATGAGTAAAAAAAATTTTTAAATATTAATGGCAGGTAAATAAGTATGTACAATACAAAAATATATCTAATCCATTTTACATTATACAAAAAGACAAATTAAGCATTATCGCAAAGAAAACAACTCTGTACCATCCGTGAATAAGTGGGTAATTCAAATTTTAGTAAAAATGAAATATATATCTATAGGGCTATTTCCATTCTGTCTAGTAAATAAATGGGTGATTCAAATTCGCAATAGTTTACTTCAGAAGACGCCGTGAATAGTTGGATTTCTCCAATTTTTTGTACCAAAACTGATAACTACAGCTAGCCCCGGATTTGGAAGAGGTTTATCCAAAAGATCAGTCGTTTTTTAGTTTTTTATTTCAATCAAAATGTATGTTATTTGAATTAAGTTCACGTTTATTTGTACTAGAATAAGTCAGTAACTCAACAACACACATATTTGGGGTCAATAAATATTCAAGTCAGATTTTTTCCAGTAAGTAATATAATTTCACAGGTTATAATTATTTAAATTGTAGGTTTTATAAATAACAACCTATTTCTAAAACACGAAATTCAACTTAAAATTTCTGTTTTTCTAAAATATCAAAATGTTGTTTAAAATGCCCATACTGGAAACTTCAATTTTTGACTTACCGACTTATTCACAGATGGTACAGAACTATTTTCTGTTGTACGCAACCCGGTGATGCTCAAATGAAGAACATTCTACATTATGTTTTCTTATTCATTTGCCTATTTCCCATTTTAAGTTACGTTTATGGAATATAGAATACTTACTTGAATTCGAGGGAATAAAAAACCGATTTCTTCTCTTTATCTGCAACGCAAAAAATTTGTATTTTTGTCTCATTCTTCCCTCAAAATTTCTACTCTCTGAAATTCAAGAATAGATACCCAGACTACAAAACAAAAAAGTATGCCATTGTGTTCAACTGAATTAATATATTTTATATCCATTCTACCTAGAAAGAATATGGCAAAAAATAAAATCTGCCAATCATAGTTCATATTTTGTTCACCAAGGTACTATTAATTTTAAATTATATATGAGTGACAATTCTGTCAAACTAATTGTCATTACATTTTTTAGTTATTGAAATTAAATATACTTACATAAAATTGAGTTTTTTTTAATTTGTAGATTTTCTTTAGTGGGTCGTAGAAAAAATATACTTTACAACTTAATAGGATTGTCCATATGGCCATCATATCCACTCTTGTTGCAAAAACTATTATTAAGGCCGAAAATTTCTTAAATTAAATATTAACAGTTCAAAACTAGATATTTAGTCCATTTGTCCTTATTGAATTACTGGAATATTCGAAACTTTGGAATCTTTAAGTGGTACAATCTTTTTTAATTAGAGGTATTTCCATTATATTCATAATTCCAAATTTATTTGAATCCATACAATCAGATGAAATGTTTTGCAGCCATAAAACATATATCTTACTTCAACAACATAATTTTTATCAAGATCATTCAGCAACTAATTGGCAATTTATCAAAACTTTTTAATTTTATCAATTGAAAATGGTTACCAGGTTGACACCATCTACACAAATCTGTCAAAAACTCAGTGCCTCTCATGAATTTTTACTTAAAAACTCTCTAGTTCTTATTTTCACTGGATTGAATATTGAATCTTATTTGAGTCATGTCAACATGTCAAGGTGCATCAGTCCATATTATGTGACATTTCAGTCCTATCCAGTGTTCCTCAAGATTCACATATTGGTCCTCTATTGTTTTCCTCATTTTTCAATGATGTTATATTCTGCTTTCATAATAGCCAATGCTTTATTTTAAGAAGTGTCCTGGAATACTGTTCTCTTATGGGTGCATTAAATGAGAGGTCGGACCAGTCAAAAACCATAAAGAAAACCGATCGACATGACCAGTAATGACTAATCAGCTGATCTGTCAGGTTCAGTCAGAGCGTTCGAGAAATTTTGTCTGACTTTAGTAGTCAAAACTGTCTAGTGAATGGTCAGATGGCCAACAATGGCCCATATTTATATTATGTTTTAATAAAAAATATGGATAAAGAGGTACATTAATAACAACAAACTTAATACACCAATCTGGGAATACATTCACAGTTTTTTAAAACAGATTATATGGTATGTATTGCAAAAAGTGGTGTCTGGTCTTGTACTTTCCTTGTGAGCTGATTATGAATTTGACCATACTAGTAATCTTGACTGTTGCCTTAATGCAGCCTGAGTAGCAACCTACTTAAACCTGTCATATTGACAGAAATGAAAGGGTGCAATGTAAATTTGTAAAATACTTGCTTTTTAAGCACTGATTTCATATGCATAACACATGTTATCAAGGTTTGCTTTGTGGCCTGCAAAGTCTGAAATGCAGGACCAAACAGGCTTTATTTTTGTTCCTTCCAAAATTAATAGGTGCTTCCTATCTAGTGTGGGTCACTTCATAAAAGAGTTTAGTTATTGGTTCCTGTCTGACTGATCTGACTCGGCACACATCACTTTTGAATGTAAAAAGACAGAACCAATTACAGACAAAGTGTATCACTTATGCAAGAACAGTAATACATTTTACCTGGACTGTGGTATATTTAATTGTAATATAAAATAGACTTGTCACTTCTGAACATCTTAAGTTTTACTTGTATCATCTGGCTGTAGGGTTTGTTTTTATTTTCTTTTTTAATTATCTCATGTCAGTTGTTTGTGTTAGGTTAGATACAGTGAACTATTTAGAAATTATTTTCTGTAAGTAGGTCCTACATAAATAAATTTATTTAAAAATTGTGACAGAATTTAGCAACAATGCAAATGAAAGTACTGGCTGTCTGATTACCATTAATTCGGAGAAGGTGACCTAGATTTGTACATGACCTATGACAAATTCAGTGGCGTACATGATTTATCATACATTATCTAATTACTCCTCTATTATAGTTATCTTTCAAAATAATATTTAATAAAGAGTAATCTGTTTATGTACATTTAAATATTTCACTTTTTTTTTTGTTTTTAGGAAACCTATCCAGCTGTTCCGCCAGTTTGGTTTGCCGATTCGGAAGAGACTAGTATAGCAAATGCTGTTCAAATTTTAAGTAACACAGAAGGTCTGGACAATCATGTCCTATATCAAGTGATAATACTGCTCAGGGAACTGTGCCGACTTCATGCAGTTCCTGAGCCACCCGATTTAGAAAGACTGCATATCTTAGATCCACAAACAACTAATCGGTAAGTAAGTCTTGGGACAGACTTGTGGTTTTTTCTTTGTAAAACAAATATGTGAAATGCAAAGAATGCACTCCCTCATGGAAGTAGAAGGCTGTTTTTCTATTTTTTGGTTATTCCAAACTGTTCATATAAGTCAACACTTTCAGAATTACCCATTTTATTTTGAATAATTACCGCTACTTCGCTACAAAGACTGAAAATCCGCTAATGTAGCTGTTTTTTTTTTTCCTACGGTTGGCAACACTGACACATTGTCTTCTTGCAAACTTCTTTTTAAAATATCCTAAATAGTACATATTGAAAAAACGATCTATAAATTAAATATTAACCAAAATTATGGATTTTTGTAGACAAAAGAATGATTACATTAATATCAATATTTATTGAAAACATTTAATGTAAACATAAAAAGAAATATTAATGATTGAAGTTGATATTTTAATTGCATTCAAAATGAATATTTTTGTTTTATTTTGCAGTTATTTTTAAGAATAATAATACTCTGCTTTATTGTGTATTGTAATATTTTTTTTGCATGTATAATATTTAATTATGGCTATTAAAAACTAAATAGTTGAAATATATTTTAAAGTGTACTTACATAAATTCAAGGTAGTGTTATTATAATCAGGATTAACATTGAAGTTTCTTCTCTTTGTTTAACTCTAGTAATTTACTTCATTGTCAAAAATAATAATGGTCTATAATGTTCTGATTATTTAGCTAAAATCATAAATTTTGATAAAAAGTAGTAAGCCAAATTAATTTTTATATTCCCTTCCAATATATGATTTAGAAAAAGGCTGGTGACAATAATTTATACAGTTTAAAGGATTTCATGATAATTTATATGTTAATTTTTTTATTATCTATTGACAATATTAAACTGCTTTTGCAATTATAATTGTTTTTTTTTTTGTCCTCCTAATCACAAGTATTGATTTGTATAAATTATATTTTAGTTAATTAAAAAAAAACTGATAATTGATCAAGCTATTCCTGATATAAGAAAGACCATTTGTTGCATTCAAAGTTTTTGTTTTTGTCGTATTTTGTGTTTGAATGTGTGTAAAAATATATCTTGAAATCACGAACCATTATTGTTTCTTTGATCTTTTTTTTTTCTCCTCAAATGTTGAAGACGTACAAATATTAATAAATTAATATTTGGCCATTCTGGAGAAGAGAACTTTGAACTACAGAATTATAGAAAAGTAATGATTTTATCAGTTTCTAATATAAAGACTAGACCTTCCGAATAACAAACATTAACAAGGGGATCCTTGGCTTGAATATTAGGTTTCGTAAATCACACAATAGAATCCAATCCGGAAGATGTAATAATTTTTTAAAGTAAAGACAATCAACTATTTGTTTCTTAGCCCTTTGTTGCAACGTTTAATTCTAGTCTGTATAATTTTGTGACACTTATTGGATGTAAAACAATTTGTTGTGTACTGTAATCTTGATTTTTCACATTAAATAAAACACTTGATACGTTTGTGAAACAATATTTATTCCTGCTTTCGCAGCGTGCAGTTACCGAATATTGTAACGAACAAAACAACTTTTTTATCTGGAAGTTGGCGATGTTGCCAAACTCTACATAATATCTAGTTTTACACTAAAAAGTACATTTTATATAAAAAGGGCAGCTACCTTTACCTTACCTTTATTTTTGTAATAATAACAGTAATGCTGGAAATAGTAGACATCAGAAACTTGAAAAGTTTTAAATAAACAATAAATTATCATTTTACGGTGTTCTTTAATATCCCTTTATTCTTAAATGTTCATTCAGCAAGGACTAGATTTCACGATATCTGCCTTTGATTATTATATGTGGCTGGAATGCAAATTTGTGACTTACTGATGGGAAACCAGTTTTAATCATTCATTCGGTTTTCTTTCAAACAAAAATGAAAATATAGATAACGATCCTTTTTTTACACATTTTAACTTCACGCTATTATTAAATGGTATTTTTATTTTGACAGAATAGTCTATTCTTCAATGACAACTTATTAGACTTAGGCAACTTCTCATACATTTTCCAGTAAATACTGTTGCCTGTCTATATTTTATTATTGATTTTTATTGATTATACATAATTTTCTTTAATTTAAGCGATAACAATATATAATAATAAATTAATGTTTTACTTGTTTTACAAATCCATATACTTTTATTAAAACTAACATATATACTTTTTAATTACGAATTCTATTAAAAATTGTATTTGTCAGTATACGCAGAAATAGTCCATTAGTACCAAAACGAATTGGCGCTGCTGTCGCGCACGGAGCGAATAGAAATGGACGACAAAAATATTGAATAAGTTGTAATTTATTAATAAGTTATTTATTTCTTGTTTGTTTGTTTATTTATTTAACACTTACAGAATGTAAAATTCCAAATAGTACAGTATATCTAACCTAACACAAACAATTGTAGGAGTAAAACTTAGACATTCAGGAGTTTATAGCTCTTGCATAAGCGATCAATAAATACACTTTGTCCGTAATCTGTGTCTTTTTACATTCAAAAGTGATGTGTGTGCCGAGTCCGTTGGGCAGGTACCAATAGTTGAACTCTCTCAAGCAGTGAACCTGCACTTGATAGAACCACCTAATAATTTAGCCAGGAATAGGAGTAAAGTCTGTTTTCTTCTGTATTCCAGGCTCTACCTGCCGCAAAGCATTAATCTTATTTGATAACATGTGTTATGGCTATGAAATCGGTGTTTAAAGAGCAGGTATTTTTACGGATTTACGTTGCACCCTTTCAATTTCTATTGATATTACAGGTGTAAGTAGGTTGCCAAATAACAGAACAGTACTCCAGCACACTTCTCACTAGGCCATTAGAAAGTGTCATGATTGCTTTTGTGTCATTCACGTACCTAGTATGTCTTTTGATGAAGCCAAGCATATACTATGGAATCTATATGGTTGTTAAAAGATATTGTGGTATCAAAAATAATGACCAGATAAATAACTGTCAAAGATCTATCTAGGTTGACGCTATCAACACTGTAACAGTTAAGAGTAGGATTGTGGGATCTTGTAAAATGCATGGTTGTGCACTTAGAAATATTTACAGAAAGACCGTTATTTTTACACCAGGTAGCAAACCTGTTTAAGTCAGACTGTAATGCGGAGTTATTACCAGAGTTTCTACTAAAAAATTTTTAAATCATCCGCGAAAAGAAGGCATTGGCTATTAAGAAAGCAGGACGTAACATCATTAAAGAATAAGGAAAACAATAGGGGACCCATATGTGAACCTTGAGGAACACCGGATAGGACTGAAACGTCACATGATACGGATTTATGCACTATGACACGTTGACACCGATTACTCAAATATTTGATTTCAATTTCTAGTCTTGATCGACATTTTTTAATTTTGTCGGCCGCCATATTGGATCTGCCATTTTGTATTTCTAATTTTTAAAGTCATGTTCAAAATCAGCGACCTAGAAGACCCCTTGGAAACCCGCTAGGTTTAATGTTAATGCAAAACCAGTTATTTTTCATATTTTCGGGCGCCATATTGGATCCGCCACTTTACATTTACAATTTTTAAAGCCTTATTCAAAATCAGCGAATCCTCCAGGATTATTTTTTTTTATATAAAAATAAACAATGTTTAATGTTTTAGGGCGCCATATTGGATCCGCCATTTTGTATTTCTAATTTTTAATATCATATTTAAAATCAGTAACCCTAAAAACCCCAATATACGAACGTCCATTTCATGAAAACAATTCTTTGATATTTTGACAAAAAAATAGGTGAAATGTCCCACCGGAATTGTTACATCTAATGAGTTGTTATCCACAAGGAATAATAGTTTATTTGCAATTCAACTTCGCCTTTCTAATTATGCTTATCATGCTTCTACCTAGACTAACGCGACTAGCTAATCAATACAATTTAGATATCACTGAATGCTTAATTAGCTAATTTCAGAACGATATTAAAAGAATATGTTTATAATATATTTATTTATTAATACTGTATATCAAAGAGTTGGAAAATATTGCTAATGCAAAAAAGTTTACATTAACTATAAAGAATAAGTTCCAGATTGAAAAGATGATTAGAATGTTCGTAAATAAGTAGTGAGATTTCTAAACAAACATTTTTTAATATTTGCTTTATATATTTTCATTTCATTTGAATATTCCAGAATAAGTGCTCGATGTAATAGCAGCAGCCACAGCGTTGGGGGTGGCGGAGGCGACGAGGCCATGATGGAGGATGAAGGTCTGGACAGCGATGCTGATCTAGACATCGGCGAAAGTGACGGAGAAGAGGAGAGCGACGCCGACGAAGATCTCGCCATGGAAATGGAGGACAACAGGCCCAAGGCGGACGAAATGGGCGTTGAACACTTGGCGACACTGGAAAGGCTTCGGCAGAACCAGCGACAAGACTATTTGAAGGTAAGTAGTGATTGATTTTGACATTACTATACATGTTTTATACTTTTGTAGGCAATAAAATCACACAAATATTTTTTTACGTTTGCGCTAGGGTTCCGTGTCTGGTTCCGTCCAAGCGACAGATCGACTGATGAAAGAACTGCGCGACATCTATCGGTCAGACTCTTTTAAAAACAAAATGTACCAAATCGAACTGGTCAATGATTCCCTATATGAATGGAATGTCAGACTCATGTGCGTCGATCCAGACAGTCCGCTTAGTCACGATCTGCAGATGCTCAAAGAGAAAGAGGGAAAGGACGCTATACATTTGAATATGTTGTTTAAGGATACATATCCTTTTGAACCTCCTTTCGTTAGGGTTGTGCATCCTATTATATCAGGTAAGGATGTCGGACTAAAATAAAAATAAGCTGCTATTTCTCTCAAATGTTATTTGTTAATGGACTTCTTTATATCGTTATTTTTTTAGGTGGTTATGTGTTAGTGGGCGGGGCCATATGTATGGAATTACTGACAAAGCAGGGCTGGTCAAGTGCGTACACGGTCGAAGCGGTGATAATGCAGATCTCGGCGACGCTGGTCAAGGGCAAAGCCCGAATCCAATTCGGTGCACCAAAAGTTTGTTCGCAGGGACAGTACAGTTTGGCGAGGGCTCAACAAAGTTTCAAATCACTTGTACAAATCCACGAGAAAAATGGTTAGTATACCACAGTTTATGCATGTCATTGCCCTAATTCCTATTTGTCAGAAGTTCATTTTTCCTAATTTTATAGGAGACAGTAAAAACAATGATGAGAGTGTACAGTAATGACGTTTTCTAAAATGACATAATAATAATAATAATAATAAATAGTAGTTTTCTCAGCTGCAGGTTTTTTTATAATAATAATAATCTTTATTTTGAGGAACAATCATAATGCATATAAGTAAGATAATAACAAAATAGTGTAAAGGAAAATATATTAATGATCACATAGAGTAATATTCATTAATTGTATATGGTTCTAAATTAATTAACAATTCATGTACTTCTCTTTTAAATACTTTAACATTTGCTAATCTTTTTATTGTATCAGGCAGTTTATTGTACAACTTTATGCAGCTGTACCCTAATCCATGTTTTGTAGCTGTCAGCCTATGTATTGGATATACTAGGTTTATATTTCTCAATATATAAGCATTCGTTGGTTCAAAATTTTAAAATAAACCTCTATTTTTAAATAAAAAAATTAAGCATTCCTGGATGTATAAGCCTATCACAGTTAAGATTTTATTTTCTTTAAATTTACCTCTACACAACTCTCATATTCAAACTGAGCATAATCTAAAAAAACGCTTTCAATTGAATTGCTCCCACCATATAAGGTAGATTATTCATGTGTTAACTAGCTGGTGAAAAAAAATTCAATTTTAATTTATTTGCGAATTAGGGTTACGATATTCAAGTCTCCAGGCGTAGATATAAACAAACCATTATTAATATTAAAATCTTACTGGGCCCCAACTATCAAGCGATTGATTGGTCACACCAACTAATATTCTTAACACAGTGGCTGTATTGATGAAACCGAAAATGCAATAGTCAGGGCTATACGACTTTTAGGATCTGCACAACTTCATCCTAACATATGTGACAACAAGTAGTGACAATAAAATATTTATTATAACAGTAATTATTCTTTAATCAAAGGCATTAAAATTCTTCCAAGTTTATGATCACTTATGCTTATAGAATAAGAAAAGCTTTTAGAATTTAGAGATTTTCTCAATATTACCAGTAAATGGTTATAATCGTTTCAAGGAGTTATGTTTCTAGAAATGAGGCCTTTTGTAGTTTTGTTAAAGATGCTACATGTTGATTCCATTTTATATTTCTATCTATAATAATTCCTAAATATTTAGTATTTTACTTCTTTTATGTCATCAATGCCATTTATATTAATGCTGTGAAAATTAGGTCTTTTTATATATGTAATGGTAAATGCTATATAATTGGTCCTATCTGCATTTAAAGACAGCTGATACCCATCCAACCACATCTTTATGACATTCATATCGCCTTGAATATCTTCTTAGTATTGTCGCAGTCATATCCACTAAATATGGCAACAGTGTCATTGGCATATGATACTACTTTGCTATTTTTCTGGTGCTAATAGAGAATTTATATAAATTGTGAAAATATAGGCCCTAGTACTGTCCCTTGAGGCTTTCACCACTTGCGGTTTACTTAGACATATTGTGAATTTTATTTAAATAATATTTAAAAAGACTTAACACAGTACCATGTGTCAAAAGCCTTTGCTAAATCTAGGAATGCTGCGATACATTTTTTACTGTTATCAAGATTACTTGAAACTTCATTAATATGGCAGTTTGGTCCAAAAAGCTTCGTTAATAAAAGAGATAGTAACGTGGCCCTGGTCTCAGTGTCACCCAGTATATCAAATTAGCAACATAACGCTTTAACATTTGAAATCCACAACATTAAAATTTTTCTGTGAATCCCTTGTGTTTGCTCTTTTAAATAATGTCATATATTTGCCAAATAAAAAAATCTCTATTCTTTTTGGACACGGTTTAATATACAGGGAGGACCATAACTAACTAATGGGATGTAGAACAGAAGTAAAAGTTGAAAATGCTTTTGCCAGTTCTCCCACTTTATACACATAAATTGACAGGTTGGCAGCGGATCTCACCGAAGTGGACGCGATACATTGGCGTACAAAATTATTTTATAGATGTTAATAACAATTTCGAGTAAATAGTTTAATAAATTGTGAATAGCTGTTGAAATTTTGTAAAATTATGATTTGAATATTATAATACATGTTTAATAATTATTTATAATCCATAAATACATGCGATTGTCCGGTTCCGCCGATAACAATTTAAAATTACTTATTCTATGAAACGACACTGGTAGGTAAACATTTACTGCGAAATTCTCGGAGCCGCCCGACGTGGTTTGACGTTTACTCCCTCTCTACCTACCAAAAGACTTTTCAACTTTTACTTTCTCTATATACAGTATCACCGGTGAAGTCTGCATAATGTGGGAATTTTATTATTTAGTTTATGCAAATTTAAAGTTCATGAACCGTTTTTGTGTCTAAAATAATTAAAAATTTATGTTGAACCTTTTTTTTTTCTGTCGATCGGCTATACCTTCCAAATTTGACATATTTTCAAAAAATTATTTCGCAAAATTTCTAAAAATGTTAATTGAAAAAGTTGTTTCTTTTTCGAGTTACACCCACCTACCAAATTTGAACGAATTTGGATAACTTTAATTTTTACAGCATATTTGTATTTTTTTATATCCAATTAGAAATATTCTTAAATAAAAATAAAAACACTTAGGCAGAAGTGTGAATTACATTTTAAGACTTCACACATTCGAATGAGTTAAACAATTGTTAGGTTGAGAAAACACGAAAAGTATCAAATTTGAATAAATTTTGTAGGTGGGAATAAAACCGAAAAGGAAACAACTTTTTCATTTTTTAATATTTTTTTATCTATTGTACTTTTTCAAAATATATAAAATTTAACAGATATAGCCAGCGTATCAAGAGAAAATAAATCGTCAACATCATTTTTTATTATTTTCAAAGCAAAAAATGATCATGAATTCATATAACAATATTATTTGGACCAAAATATGTCTTTGTAATATTGCTGTGAAAAAAGTTGAAATATATCTTCTATTTTTGGTAATAATTTCGCTTTTTTATAAATTACAAAAGAATATAGGGTGCCACAGATTAAATTATTTTTAAATCTTTCGAACCAAATTTAGCAGAGTTTTGTCAGGAAATATAATTTTATTCGTTTTACATTTTTAGTATAACGAAACTTTTTTAATGAACATTTTTGGTAATTTTAACTATAAAAAATGATCCTAATAAAATGTGGTCACTGTATGTCACATTAGTAATGGTCCACGTTGTACACATTTTTCATATTGACATAATATATTTTATTTTTCAGGTTGGTTCACACCTCCAAAAGAAGATGGCTAAACAACACCAACAGTATTTTTTTAATATTATTTTTGTTTTCTATTATATTTTTCCGAGGGCGTAGAAACACATCTTATCAGGTTCGCCCTAACATCTCCCCAACAAAATCCTGCTACTAATCGTCGACAAAACAAAAAGAAAAAACAAATTAAAATCGTTGTAATTAGTGCCTGTGGATAATTCTTTTTGGTTATTAACATTGTCGGCAAAAGACTTAGCGATTTTAGGTATTGTTTTTTTTTATTAGAGAATGTCATCTTTAGTATTAAAATCGCGATGTATCTAAAAATGACTGACCGTTTTTAAAGTTTATAGATACCAGGGACGTTCGATAAGTATTTGAACTGGTCTCAGCGCGAATTGAAAAATCTTTTTTGTTTTCCATTCAGTGACATTAAATTTACTCAGTTGTCCGAGTAAAAGTATCCAGAGCCATAAGTAATATCGGTTCCAATATTTGTTATTGTTTACTCCTCTCCTTTTTTTTTTTTTTCGACACGTTTTTAAATCAAATATATCAAAAAATAAAGTGTGCAATCGTTTGTTTTTGTTTTCGAATTGGGCTCTTTTTTTTTGAAAGGAGAATGAAAGTTGAATGTACAGTTTGTCCCATTTATTTTAAACAAGCAACATCACTAGTTTTTGAATTAGATTTATATATATATTATATGCGCACTTGGATTTTAAAAAACGCTACAACCGATCATATTATATATTGTATTGGCTGCTGAATTGTAATTGGAGAAAACAAATAAAAAAATTTCTATCTGCTGTGATAGTTTGTAAATTTTTAATTGGTTTTGTTAGAAAACGATGGAACTAATTGAAAAGTCTTTTTTTATTAAGAAAATGTGTCATATTGACATTTTTTTTTAATCTACACAATTATCATGGAATTGAACAAATTTTGTTTACGTTGGGTCAATTATGTATAAGTTTGTTCCAACATTTTAATCACGTAAGTAAATAATCAAAAAATTTGCTGTTGACGAATTATACAGGGTGTTATTCAAATAGATTAAAATTTAGACAACTAAAATAGCAAACAATTTACAAAAAGCATATATAAATAAAGAAGTAATTAAATTTTAAAAATGTAGGTGATGAGTGATAATATGAGGTTGGTTTCGCAGTTCCAGCCTTCAAAGAGGGTACAATTTTGCCAATAACATCATTAATGTCAATTTATGTTACGTCGTCAATGGGAGAAAGGCCTTTTCTTCTTAGAAATTGAGCACGTGTCGTATTTTCGTTTTTTATGTTTAAAATTTGACTAACAAAATGGATAAGAACAATTTTTTTTTCTCTTAATTTGTGTTTCTTTAGTTCTTCAACATTTTTAAATGCTTCACCAACATCTTCATCTGAATTATCATGCACTTATGGAAAGTCACTATTATTGGATGATGCATTGGAGTAATATGAGTTGATTCACTTTAAATGATTGCTGCTGCATGTTTGGCCACTGCAGCAGCCTCTTTTGAGGACCGTACTTGTGTCTCTTATTAGAAAAGGTGTGTTCCCAGGAAAGTGAATCTCGAGTAATAGGCGAACTCTTTCCTCCTCACTCTTCGTGAAGCTTCTATTTGGTTTCTTTAGAGCCATACCCGTATCCACTCTCCCTTTTGCCAGGGTCTTGTGCTGCAGATGTAGAATTATTCTCCTCCCAAGCTATTACATTTAACTTTCCCGATTTGTATATTGTATATGGTAAGTGCCTGTAATAGAGTTTCCGCACTTCAGATCTTAAGTTTAACAGATAAATGTTCCACTAGTTCTATTTGAATGCGGCAGCTTGATTCATATGCCTCAAGTATTGCCTTATTTAGTTTTTCGAGATCATTATCAATGCTAAAATTGATGCTATTCGTCTTTTGACAACCTACACTTTCAATGACACCCTGTGTAAGTACGTGGTTAAAATATTTGCATTTATTTCCAGGTCAATAGATTTGTTATTAATTTTAAATAATCCTACTATTCTACTCAAATGAAAATTTATATTTTGGCAAAATAATACTATACTTACCATTATTAATTAGTAAAATATTGAATTCTGTTGACAGATTTAAAGGGACAATTTTACAATTTTTATTATTTTTTATTTTATTCAGGGTTCGTTAAAATGTATATTGTAAAAATTAAGTTTTAAGATCTCCCACCGTTACTACATGAAGTACGGTCGATATTTATACATTATAATCCTGTCAGGCAGGAAAAAATAACAACTGTAAAAATTGTGCTCTTTTAAATTTTATTTCATGCTTTACATAGAAATGAATTTAATTTGTTCAATTCAAATATTGTGGATGGACTGTTGATGCTTTTTTGAAACAACAGTGGGCAGTGTTTAAAGCGGTAAAGATAATATGCAATGAAAATTGACATCAATTTGTTGCTCTATCAGAATGGGATTTCCTGTATACAGAAAACTTGCGTATTCAATTATTTAGGTCAATTTTTCAAATGAAACCGGTGCGTTGAAAATTTTATAAATTAATTAAATCTGTTTTAATAATTTTTTTGGAAAATCTTTGTATTCAGCACCAACGAAAATTTAAAACAGAATTTTAATCATAACTCATCGAAACAACGTAAAATATGTATTAAAATCTGCAATAAAAATATATTCATGTTCCCCTTTAGAAGAGTGATTTTTTTTTTCAGCGTACCTTAGAGGTTTTGTATGTAAATTTTGTTTTGAAGTTTAGGCAAAGTGTAATATTTAAAAAAAAAATTAAAAATAAATAATAGGTTGGAATTGTTTGAAACTTGGAAAGGTGTGTATAATTTTCTATTAATTTCGGTTGATTCTAAAAAATTTGTCCTTACAAATTATATAGTGTTAAATTAAGAAGCAGCTTTCTGGTAGCCCGACGCTGTTGTGCAGTTTTTTTGGAAAATAATGGTATTTTTAAATATGGTTGATTGTCACTTTGGCAGGTGTTCACAATACTTTTAGCAACGATACTAGTATGTAATCAAATTCATGTGTTATTTTATAGTAAAAATAATTGCAGCTGTCCGAAGTGACCGATGTGTATATATTAAGACTGATTTATATTATTTTCCTCTAAAAGCTGTATAATACATTACATAACCTTTAAAATATGTGCCATTTAACATTATTTTTATGTATATTATGGCATTTTCTCTTCTAATCAGATCAAATTCGTTTAGCTGTGGATAAAACGGCTGCTTCTTAAATTCCATTGTACAATATTTCTGTCCAATTTCTGATAAACATTAACTTACAGTTCAGGACGTGGCCCTAAATGTATTTAAGGCACAAATCTGTAATGTTAGCGTTAGTTTAAGACCCTTAATCTTCGTTTTTAGTTGTAACCCTGTATATATGATAACTGTTAAGTATACTTCTTAAAGACGAAGTTATTGTGATTATTTCTATTCTTAGTAATTTCGAAAGCGAAAATTTATTTTTCGTAAACATTCGGTTACCGTTGTGTACTTGTCTCCGAACAATAAAATCACGTGGATATGTCGTTTTATCGATCGGAGCTCGTTATAACGGTGCACCGGTATATTATTCGTTTCTAGCGATAATTTAGTTGAAGCATGGGCAGCAAAATGTCAGGACTGTGTATATATAACGAACTATGTATTGTTTTGCTGTATTATTCACTCTTTAAACTGTTTGTCAGTATGTGCTTTTAGTTTTTAAACTCAATAAACTACTACCATTACAACAAGATAATCAACGTATTTTTTTTTAAATTAGCTTACAAAATAATCATTAACTAAAAGACTACTAAAGGACAACTAACCGAATTGAACATATCGTCCCTTTTCAGGCAAAGTATTGTAAGCGACATTTTTGTGAAACATTGATTTTGGTGTTGTCCGAATCGTCTAAGATGAGCTATGTTGTCTCAAAAAAGTTTCGTATGCTACAAAACTCATAAAACATCAAATTTCTATTTAAAAGTTTGCCATAATATACGCCCACAAATCATAAAATATCGCAAGCTACAATATTATCAACATTTGTCACTTTCTTTCCACCATAATCTTCTTAAAATATCGTACTTTTATGTCACTTACGTTTTATTCTATAACCAAAGTTCTAAAATCTTTTAAACATAAAGCGGGAAAAACAGATTTTGTGTTTCCGGTTAAATTACTTAAATGGCGCATACGATACTTTGCCTGGACAGGGACGATATACGAGGTGTGTAAATTAAGTAATGAGACTGATTTTCTAGTGTCCGATCTGACAACAGTAGGGACGTGGCACGTGGAGGATTAAACAGGTAAACATCTGATAAATGTCCAGTGCAAGTTTGAACACGCTAGAAGTGTTGCGCTGTCCGTAGTGAAAGATTATTTTTGGTGCGTTCTAAAAATGAGTAACATCAATTTCGAACAACGCTGTGCTATCAGATTCTGCTTCAGACTTGGACACAGTGCAACGGAAACATTTTAAAAACTGTGTATGGCCTATGGAGACAGCGTCTTTTCAAGAGCAGAGTTTTTAGGTGGTTTAATGAATTTTCAGGAGGAAGAGAAGTCAAACGACGATCTAAACACATAAGATCACGAATTCTGGCAACATTTTCATTGGATCTTGAAGATGAATGCCTTCCCCTGCAAGGCTTGTCTTCAATTGATCGAGAACGAAGATGATTGCGATGTATTTGATAAATCTCATCGTGGATGAGGTGGAAGAAATTTCGTCTGTGACGTTTTGATCTATTAGTCTGGTGGAAGCTGATGATTTACTATTACCTAATAACTACCACCATGTTGCTCTTGTGGCTACTATATCACTATCTGTTAATTGTAAAAATCTTCAATACTCGGAACATTACTATTACAGTTCATCAAATTTCTAGAGGTGTTCGACGCCCAGACAGAGAACGCGCTACGTGTGACTAAGATAGCTATTGTACAGTCTGCTAAACAAGTTATTTTAAATAGTTTTTAATATTTTTAGGTAATTAAATTTTAAAAGTGTGGAATAGTTTAGGGATTAAATTGGTCTGATTGGACTTTCTTAGAACGTTTTTAAAAGCAGCTAAAGATAGTATGTAGAATTGAAAATAATTATTATGCCATAAAAGGTGTTTTGGAATTCCTTCAACCTTTTGAAATTGAGTCAGAAAATATAAATTTTATAGGATAGCGGAAAATACCTATAATTTTTTTGTAGGCCTTTGTAAATCGTGGAAATAGTTTATATTTTATTTCTACCTTATTAAGGAAAATGGTACCTATTATTAATAACGGTTGTTTCTGAAACATTACTAAAATTTTCGAAATTTTGTTTTTCTACAAAATAATAAACTATACTATTTAGAAAAAAATTTATTTCTCTTATAATTTTATAAAAAATAACAGGGGAATATTTACATTTCTTGATCTGTTAAACAAAACGATAAATTATCTCGACGAATGACACCATCTTCTAGTAC